TAATTTGATAGCTTCAATGACAGCGTATCAATCATCAATCACTTTTCTTAGCTGCCATGACTTGGCACCACACATATAGGCACAATAAGCATACCATTTGCGATTCGCATTCCCCCCAAACACTTTACAAAAACCCTCTTCTTGTCATTCTTAATGAATTTTATATTTCTCCTATTACTGAGTGCCTAAGTACTAATCCCTTTTTCTCAGCTAAATAGGTTCCTACTTCCCATTTATATTTCCCCAAACTTTTAGGCATACTAAAAGTGGGAAACCAACTTTTCGGGATGAAATCATCACCCTTCTCACTATCTGGACCACTAACCAACTCATCTGACAACCACTCAATGTCAGACAAGCCACGAACATCATGAATGGAATCATTATCAGTTGTCCGTGAACACTCACCTACTAGAGTGCAAGGTTCTTCTCTCACATTTCCTTTAGAAGTCCCAATGTTACATTGAATGGTGACATCAACTAGACTTTGTTGACTGACAGACTCACATTCAACATCCTCATGCACATCCTTATCTACATCTTCATCCTCATTAACATTGTCATCTACATCTTCATCCTCATTTACATCTTCAGCCTCATTTACATCCTCATCCTCAGCCTCATCTGCATCCTTATCCTCTTCTACATCTTCTAGCTCAAAATCATGTACATATGTACCTCGGCCTCCTCTACATCATGTACCTCAGTCTCATCACCATCACCCTGACCCTCCTCCACTTGTCTTGCAACATCACCTTCATCATGAACATAAGCATCAACCCAATCAATCATTTCTATTATGTGTGGTTCCATGCTATTATGAACCACGTAGAGATGAACTTCATCATTTAACCTTGCAATGTTCACCATCTGCATAACACCCCGATCATCAGTTAATAATTATAATCTATCTGGTACCACTGACTCACCTCCTAAATTGTACCAAAGTTCTTTGACGTTTATATGACCTAAGTCTTTCCCTGAAGCTAATATGCCAAAATAGCTCCACAGGTCTGGATCACAAGACCATTGTATTGTCTCTCCATAAAATTTTAACTTCCCATTATCATCACTAACAAAATGTCCAGTATGGTGGACCACAACTTTAATACGTTCATCATCCATATATGAAGCACAAGCTTTTAACACTTGTACATTATGGAGGGAAAATTATTATTATTACACTCCCTACCAATCAAATGGGGGAACACTCACTAAGGAAACACTCAGACAGACAAGGGACAGGGGAACAAACTAACATCCCCACTATGGAAACACTCACATAGTCAGGGGACCACTACTTCTAGACAATTCAAAAATGAAAAATTGGGACCACAATCTCTACATTGTACACATTTCAACATGCAAAATCGGGACCACAACGCATAAATAGTGACAGAACAACACAAAAACCCATTTCCGATTACCCATCCCTAAAACCAAGACGCAGTACAAGTAAACCAAAAAACCCATCATACGCAAAAATGCAATAGGTCGTAAATGCAACACGATAGGAAACTAACCTTAACTCGTGTCCACTTTCACTTAGGTTCGTCCACCTCCAACTGATTGTCTTCGTCTTCTCTAAGATTGCAATTCCTCTTCTCACACTCACCAAATCAAATCCTTAATTCCCTTTCTCTAACCCTATTTCAGTAAAAAATTTCCTAATCTGAACAAATCCCTAAAGTAAACAATTAAATTTGTACCACGTCAAAAACTCTTTATTTAAATAACAAATTTCACGTAATATAACACTTATACATCAACATATTATGTGTGCACCATGTCAGCATCTGTTCACGCCGTCTGTGAAAACTTAACGGACAGGGCTTAATTGACTCAAATTTTCAAATATATGGACCCAATTGAGATAGCTGCAAAAACGAGGACCCACTTGAGATGTTCCAACAAATATGAAGACGATCCGAGGGTTTAAACCTATATTATTTTACACTTGTTAATTTAATTATAATAATTTTGTTTTCATTTACATTGCATGACCGAGTATTTGTTTTAGTAGTATGACAAGATGCATCTTTAAAAAAAAAATCAAAGATAAATATTACAATACTAATTAAATTTTAATTGAATGGGATGATTTGAGATGCATAAAAAGTATTAAAGTTAGTAATATTCAATAAAAATAATCGTTAATAAAAATATAGATTAATAATATATAATAATGTAAAATTTGATTAACAAAACATGCGATAATAATATATAAATAATGTAATATGTTAAAAAATCAATTTTAATAAAAATATTTGTGTAATATTTATATAAATAATAAATTTTGTTATAATTTAAAGACACCTTCTTATTAAAATTAAGATTAAATTAAATTAAAGAAAAATATATAGAGACTAAATTGAAATCAAGACAACGATACATAATAATATCTTTAACACCCAAGAACCTTCGAAAGAACTCTATGCATAGTATGTTTCATACATTTTACTTTTTAATATAATTTCTTTCAAATTCATGAAAATTTTATGTAATCATTCTTCTATACCTATTATGGTAGAATATTTATATGATATTTTTTTTTTCTGATTTTACACTTATAATACATATTTCTTTTATTTTTTTAATATAATTATTGAATTACAATACCTATTGTATCGGTTTGACTTTTTATAAGTGAAAACAAAATAAGAAGTTGATAATAAAAATATTTTGGCTTAAGCTTATTTTGTCTCCAGTTTTGTTGAATTTTGTCAATTAGGTCACTCCTTTTAAAAGTGTGTCAAATTGGTCCTCACTTAGTCAATTTTGCTTCAGTCCTTCCCTTAAATACACATCAACGACGTTAACTTTTTTTTTTCTCTCCTATGCTCTTCTACTGCGTTGTCAGTGTTATCTTTTTTTCTTCCTTTTGTAATACCAAAAAAAGTGTGAGAGAGAAAATAATGCATGAAAGGGTCACCCTCCTTATTAAATAAAAAAATTATCTTTATTTTGTCAAACAAATATCAATTCCACGAATAAAATTCCTCAGAATGACAGTAGCTTATTTTATACAATTTTTCTTCTATGAAATTAATTGTCATAACTCTGTTCAATCGGGTACTCCTCAATCTTCCAATATTGATCATACCTCTGTTTTCCATTCACACCTGTGGGATCCTCTGTATTCAGGGTTGCATGTGCTATAATATTAAAAACACAATTTTCTATGATCATTTTTCTTATCTGTGACTGAGTTTGAAGTATCAACATGTATTTGAATTCATTTGGGTACTTTTAGTGTTTTCTCTTTTTCATCTGGGTATGTTCATAACATTGTGAGCACTGGATACAAGTTTATCGGTAGCTTTGGATTTTTTTTTTTGATAATTCATTGATGGGTTTCTCTCTATCTAAACGTTTCAGGAAGTTATATATTCTAGATTATAATACTGAGATTCAGAGGTAATGGATTTTCTTCTTAAATTCAAGCATTGGATTATAATTCAGTGTTAGTTATCTCCTCTTTTCTTTTTCCTTGGTCTGTAATATTAGAAGATTTTATTTTGATTTTTTCTCATTGATTTTAATTTTCACATTATCATTTTTAATGGAACCTGTATTTGGATTTGCTAATTTTTGACATGAACGTGTCACATGCTTGTACAATGGACGGTGACCCTTCAAACAGTTTTGGTAGTGATGGCTGTTCTTCTGTTCAAACTGAATCACAATCAAAATTAGAATCAAAAGGTCTTGAATTGAGTCTTCCAAATCCTTGTAAATCAGCCCCCTAAGGTTCTCAACCTGAGAAGTCCTCTATGGCAGGACACTATTTTTGGACAACACAAAGAATTCTCAAATTCTTGGACTATCGAGGAAAGAGATTACTAATTCTGTGCGTGATTCTATTGATACATCATCTAGTACATATGGAACACCTCAATCTTCTTTTGTTGAAGAAAGTTGTGGGAGTGTTAGAAAGGTCTATTCCAGTGGCACAAAGAGAATATATTTTTTGACACAAGTCATTCCATATGGAAAAAGGTTATCTAAAGGGTCATTGAGAGGTGTGTTGGGAATCTAAGTGGATTCCAAGTCCCATATTTGATAGAAATGAGAAAGTAGAACAATATATAAAGATGAAAGACCCATTAACTCATTGTCTTAAGGTTTTGGGTAAAGAGTGGTGTCAATTCCTTATATAGGTTGCTCAAATGTTATGGGTGTTTATGTAACCCACAAGGAATACTATTGGGATATGGAATTTGGTAGATGGTTAACTTCAATGGAGAAGAAGATCCCTTGGCACACCTAAAAAATAACATCTATTTCAAAGTCCATTGTTGTGGTCAGTCGTAAAATAACATCTCAAAAACTTTTTATGGTACTGCAAAAGAAAGAAGACACACTTTTAAAAGGAGAGACCTAATTGATAAAAGGAAAATGATTCTTTGACACACCTAAATTTTTTACATCCATTTGACACTACCCTTATTTACTTTTTACTCTCTTCTTTCTTGAAAAGATACAAAACTTTACACTTTTAGGACTATATTATCCTTGTACTTTGTTTCAAATGAATGTAAAAATGTGTCATGATACTATTACACATTAATAAAATTTAACAAAACTGGAACAAAATAAACTATTAAACCGAATATTTACTATTTGATTCAATACATTTTCATTGTTATATTCAAATAAAGAATCTAAATTTCTTTTAAATCATAATAATTATTTTGGTTAAATTCCTAATATTAATAATATCAGATTATATGAAAGACTTGACATGTCACAATAATTTTTTTTTACAAAAAATAATTTTAAAAAATAAAATAAAATTTAAAAAATCACAAATTAAACGTGTCATATTGTTAATGTTATTAATAATTGTTTTAAATTTTTTTTAATTAAAGCACTTTTTTAAAAGTTAAAATACATTAAGACAGAACCAACTTGACATACGTGGACTATCTAATTAAACCATATAAATATAAAAATATTGTTTTTTGACTTCCTGTACTTTTTTCAAATTTTTAGTTTCATTTAGAATAACTCTCTTCAAAATTTGAAATCCTTGTGGATGTGGGTGGAACAAAATGAAAAGGTGCTGATTCAAATTTGTAAACGTATCTGCTGGCTCGATCGTTTGGTTTGGTGTTCCCCTAGACAATTGAGCATAGCAAAACTTGATTACAGAGTTCCGAATCTGATCGCAAGCTCAATAAACATAAATAACGTACCGGTTCTTATTCATATTTCAGAAGACCAAACGCTGAAAAATCAATTTGGGGGTAACGATGAATAATTCATCACCGGCTCATTCTTCGCTATCGACGACGGCGGTTGTAGGTGGTGGTGGAGGAGGCAGTGGCAGCAACGCTACTGTATCCGTTGACGATTTTATTTTTCCGTGTGATCCTATGTCATCGGTTGAGCGTAAAGACGAAGCCATGTCAGGTGGGCTTTATTCAATCCACTTCCTTTGTTGTGATCTTCATTCAAAATTGAAGCTTTGCGGTTATTTGGCCATTGTTATGAATATCATACCCGTCAGCTATTAGGGTGAAGTTCATCGAACGGTCCCTTTCTGACTATTTTATTTTAGTATGATTTCTTTTCAGTGTCTTTAATCTCAAGTTTACTTCCTTCTTCTTTGTTGTACTTATTTAGCATTGCAATCACTGAGATTCCTGAGTTACTCTCGATTATTGTTTACAGCTAATGATTTTGGCGTTCGGTACAGATTATTAATTTATTGTTTTATGTTCTCCTTTGGGGTTTCTCGGGTTTGAATTAACATGTGTTCTTAAATTACATTATGGCTAGGATTTATATCATTCAGTCCTTTCTGATCTGGTTTCCTATGTTCATTCACCATGTATTGGTTCTGAAAAGAAGGAAAGGGAAAGATAAAACTATGGTTTACTTGGAGTGCAACATCATCTTTCCGTGTAGTTTCAGATTGAAATTAAATGTATTCTGTTGTTTGTTCTTCCTGAACTTGCCCATGAGGTCTTCATTTTGACATTCTGCATTCTTATTTCAGTTTTAAAATCAGATCTCATGGCTGCACTTGACAAGGAAGTTAAATCGTTGGTTGAAGATAACTGGAAGTTTGAAGGGCCTCGGTCGCGGATTCACCTTGTATCACATCGAGGTTGCTTGTTTATCGATCTCTTAATGATTTTGTTATGATATCTTCAGAGTTTCTTAGAATATTTTAGAACAATATTTAGGTACAATTTTGTTCTGTTTATTAAAACATAAAATGAGACCACCATAAAAATCTTAGTTTACCCTTGCATTTAGTCAATTAATTCTACCTACTTCAGTCGATGGTTTGATGCTCATATCCTTGATTTCATGGTGTTAGATATCAGTATTGACGTGTATTTTCATGTGATACGTATGCAGTTATGCCTTGGCATAGCAAGGGCATCCTATTGCTCTACTCAAGCTTCCCTGCCTAGTTAGGTTAGGGAGAGTAGATGTGATGTGTTCAGTCTTAACCCAACCGGGGAGGCTCTTTCCATGATCTGAACCTGTGATCTCTAAGTCACAAGGTAGCAACCTCATTGTTTTTCCTAGACTTGCCATTGGTATGACGGTAAAAAAAAATGTATATTATGATATTATCTGAATTCTAAATCACATTTATATTCATCAACTCGTATTTTTCACAACCTGTATGGGTTTTGGCTTATGTTTCTATGCTGTTGTGTACTCCATTATACTTTGATGAACATATGAACAAACAGAACTCGATAGAGTGCCTTTGGAGTAATTTGGGTTAACGTTGGAAACCTAGTTTTGGAGTAATTTCCATTTTGCAAATTGTGTTTGCAACAAATACCCAAGTTTTGCTTTTATGAAACTTGGTCTAAGCCAAAATTTCTGTGTGCAAATGTACTTTTGAGGAAAACTACGCGTGTCATAGATTTGAGTTAACTCTCCAAACCGAGTACGGAGCACCCCGAAGTGGAATCCAAAGATACCCTAGTATATTTGAAAACATTTACTTTATTGTGCCAAAATGGATTTCTGATCATTGTCTACATGTGCTATGATTTTTACTTTAAACTCATCTGTTCATATCAGAGTCCATGTGATAGGAGATTGAGAGTATATGAAAGGAGAAGGAAGCGTTAGTTAGCCTAACTGTCTTGACAGTTAGGAAAGGCGGGAATGGGTTTGTATAAATAGATAGGTGTGTTAGTTGTGGGAGGACTTTTAGACTGTCAGTAATCTGTACAAGAAGTGTTAATCCTGTAGGGAGAGGTTAGGCTCTCATAGTGACCTTATAATTGTATTCTTTCTGTTGAATAGTAAAACGAGAGGTTCTACAGTGTTCGGTTAGTGCATTTGTGGTATTAGTTTAGGTTTCATTGATCAGAAACCTATCAATTTGGTCCGACCTGTCGGAATTGGGTATGAGAGCAAGAATGGAGAGGGATACGGAGGGAAGATTGGAAGCGATCGAAATTACGATGGAGGGGATGAAAGCAGAGTCCGCCGCAGTACAGAGGGATTTACAACAGATTATGAGGATCCTGGGTACTCAGGTCAATAACTCGGAGGAACATTCTGATGATAGCTCCGTGAACAAGAACAAGAATTAACATCGAGTAGTGGGGGAAACTGGAGACAGAAGGGTCGGCGACCGCAGTGAGGATCAGAGACCATGGCGGAAACGGGTAGAGTTACCCACGCTCGACGGGATAGAGCCCCTCAGTTGGCTCAATAGAGCGGAACGATTCTTCGACATACAGAAGGTGACGAGCGATGAAGAGAAGGTGGAGATTGCGTATGTTAGCATGGAAGGAAGTGCGACCTACTGGTTTATGTTCTGGAAAGAGAAGGCCAAGAACCATTCTTGGGAAGGTTTGAAGACGGCCATGATCAACCGTTTCGGAGGAGGATTCAGGGGAACGGTGTTTGAGCTACAAGCAGAAGGACCGACTTTTTGGCCAGTAGGGGTCTTGGATAATAGACAAGTTCAACAGGGAGAAGAGGTAGTGTGCCAAGTCTTGGTAGAATGGCAAGAAGGGGGCATAGAAGGTGCTACTTGGGAAGACAGGGCAACTATCCAGGACCAATATCCTGAGTTCAACCTTGAGGACAAGGTTGTTGAGGTGCCGGAGGGTAATGATAGGAGATTGAGAGTATATGAAAGGAGAAGGAAGCGTTAGTTAGCCTAACTGTCCTGACAGTTAGGAAAGGCGGGAATGGGTTTGTATAAATAGATAGGCGTGTTAGTTGTGGGAGGACTTTTAGACTGTTAGTAATCTGTACAAGAAGTGTTAATCCTGTAGGGGGAGGTTAGGCTCTCATAGTGGCCTTATACTTGTATTTTTCTGTTGAATTGTTGAATAATAAAACGAGAGGTTCTCCAGTGTTCGGTTAGTGCATTTGTGGTATTAGTTTAGGTTTCATTGATCATAAACCTATCACCATGTGACAGTTTTTTTATGGGGCCTGATGATAACTATCCTGATTCTTGAGTAATAGTCACTAATCATGTGACTTAGGAGCAGTAGTGAGCAGAAGTTGGAACCTATAAGCAGTATAGATATTTGACAGACAATAGCTTGTCCTGTGTTAGTTACAAAAACCCACAGCTCCCTCTCATCCCATTCGTTGGAGCTTCATCAGTCCTCTTTTTCTTATTCTTTGTGTCGTGTATAACTTGTATATTGTGAGATTCTATTGTTTACGTTACCATTTACTGCTTCACTATATGCTGAGTCCTAACATCCTGCATTACTTGCTCAGTATCTGTTGAGTTACAATTTGAAGCTCCCTTGATTCAGTTATTCATAGAAAATAACTGATGGAAGTTATGTATTAGGGTACAGTTGATAGCAGGGTGGGTAAATAAGAAAGGAATATTGTTATGTCTAGTTTACGATCAGAATATTCTCTACAGGAGACTTTTATCTCTAGACCAACACCTGCACGTGATTTCTCTGTTTTTAATTATATTTTACTAGTTTATGCTTTTCAATCGGTGTTCTAAACTTTCAACTTTGGTTTGCATGTTTACCATATCACATTTCGTTTTCTGATTTCTTTGACACAAGTAGAATAATATGTAGCCAATAATGGCTCATTTTATGGTCCTCGCATCATTGTTTGTCTTGTTGAGTATCCGGTTCCTTTTTGTCAGAAAGGAGACGAATGTATCCCATTTTTGGCTTTGCATTGGAAGCCCGAGCCCGAGGCACTACTTATGCTTTGTTTGTGCTGAAAATTGTTTTGCAGGTGATCATCTCTATAGGCCCACAGAAGTTTCAAAAAATTGGAATTTGACTCCCCCAAAATAGTTGGAACACTCACCTCAAAGCACTGTTCCTCCAAACTGAATTGATTATGGTCGTGATCTGAAGACAGATACAAATTGTTATGCCATATGTCTTTTCCACCTGAAAACACAGCTGTGACTCTATATCTTCAGACTCTGGAAGAGCATGATTATTGCAAAGGAAGGTTCTTTCCGTGCAAGATCGTCAGTCACATTTTGTGTTAGTCTTTCTAGTCCGGATTGAGAAAGCTGGTGTTTTAATATTTATATGATATTATTGTTCTAATTTTGAGGGATCAGTTATTAATTGCAGTTGATTGTTGTAAACTGGAGGTATTGTAATGGATAAGCCAACAAATGGCTAACGAATTCACTCGTTTGTTTTAAAATTTCGGTAAAATTGACAAATAAAATCATACCTTAACAGCTATATTTCAATACTTTTATTTACTATACTGAAAAAACATTTGTTTCTACTAGTATACTGAAGAAACTTTTAACAGAATTTAGTTGAATATTTCAAGAAAAAATATCAATTTAAATTAACTTCCATTAATTTTTTTTAGGCATTCTATACTAAAAACAAAAAATACTCGTAGTATTTAGAAAGAATAATACATAGGGAAAATAAATTTAAAACTGTCAATTATAAAATATCTTTTAAAAACTAACAACTTTGTTTTAAAATGTGTCTTATTAGATCTTTTTTTAATGACTTAACATGTTAAGATATTTGCTAAAGATTGTGATCCTGAACATGCAATGTAATTAAATTCATCGTCCAAAGAACATGATTTATTTGCAAACAGTATAATTTCCTCAATTGTTGCCAGTAAGTTTCTAATGATATTGACATTTAATTTCTAACTATAACCCCAAAAAAAATTATTCTGTCCCCCTCAAAATTCCAAAATTTGAACCCTAATTATTTTGTGATGTCTACAAATAACGAAAGTCAAGACTAAGCTAAAAGTTAAAAATAAGAATAAAAATGTAGTGAACTTAAGCCCCCTCCCCCAAGAACATATATCACCAAGCTCTTTACCCTAAGAGCAACAGATTGTTTTTAACTCACAAAAGGGTGATGCAGAAGTTCTAACACTGTTGCTCTCTTCCTCCAATTCTTCTCAAGACACCTCCTCACAAAATTTTGAAACTCTGGTGATGCTTTTTCTGGCATCTCCAGCTTCTCACCAAAGCAAATTGCACACATCAAAGTTGCCCAATCTGGTCTCTGCCCTGCTCCAATCAATGGAAAATAACCCAAAAGACATTCCAACATTACTACTCCCATTGACCACACATCTCCTGCAAACTCATCTGCATTTTCACCACCCCATCTTTCTGGATCAATCCTTTCTGGACTCATGTAAGCACAGGTGCCTGCATCGTACTCATTTCCTTCAAACCTACCTTCCACCACATGACTCACTCCAAAATCTGCAATCTTTACCTCCCCTTTATCGTTCACAAGTAAGTTTGATGGTTTAATATCTCTGTGCACAATGTTCATGCCATGTAAATACCTAAGTCCTTCCAAAACACGCCTACCCAACACCGAGATAACCTTTTCTGACAGTCTATGATGTATTCTCAATACATCATTCAACGACCCTCCTTCCATGTATTCCATAACAAAGCTAATGTCACCTCCGTTGTCGCCATCATTATTGCTATTACAACTGTCAAAAACTGCATGACACTTCACTATATACGGTGAATCCACTCGTTTTAGAATGTCAGCCTCCAGTTTAGCGGTTTGGCGAATGCCAAAGCCATTCTCATTCAAACGTAGCACTTTCAAGGCATAAAAGGAGCTGGTTTTTTTGTGATAAACTTTGTAAACTGTGCCACCATTACCATGGCCAAGAACTTCTCGCTTTTCAAGATGCGAAAGATCCTTAATCATGCCGGGAGAAGAGTGTACATGAATTTGGTGAGGGGAATCTGAATTTGACGATGGGATTGAAGGAGATTTTGGTAATGAAAGCCTCAGAGCTTGCTTGTGTCTCCTCTCTCTGATAACCAATGTCATTTACGTGGTTCACACTTGAAAACACTCTCTGAGCCTAAACAAAGAAAAAATAAAAAATGGGGTTTAAAGAATGGAAGAAAGGGAAATTTTTCCATAAAAGAAAGCCACGTGCTTGACTGTAAATTTTGGCTTACAAGAGTGATGACAAGTGTTACCGAAATGAATGGACAGGTGAGGTTTTGGTGGTGATATATCAGAGCTTACATATCACTGCATGGTCGTGATAATTGTTGTTTATTTATCTTTTTTAACAATTTACTTGAATTCAGTTCCAAATTTAGTTAAAATCTCAAATTTCATGGTTCTGGTTAAACATGTGCATCTCTAACCCTGCGGTGTTTGTTAAAGTTAGGATGAAGGTGGCCATCATGCACACCTAACTATAGTGTGTAAGTTGGAGAAATCATTACAAAGGAATGATGGTGCGATTGTGGAGAATGGAAGCATGCAAAGCAGTGACATAACCCCAAATGATGAAATAAATAGAATTAATGCCCGAGCAGTCAGGATCCAATTAAATAAGATTTTTCGTATCAAAACCCTAACTTCAAGGCCAAACCAAAATAACATTGTGGTTTTCACTCACCATTTACAAATTCTGCATGTTTTTTTTAACCTATATAATGACAAGAGTTGCAGAGATCATTTAATGTGAGTGTGCAAACTGGAACTTTGATGAATAATATGGTGCCATGGCTTTGAAAGAAATTTGAGAAAATATGTTTTCACACTCTATATATATCAGCCATTTAACTAGTTACTTTTAAGGATAATATAATTATTAAAAAGATGTATTTTTATATTTATAAGGAAAAATAGATGATGAAAAATAAAATATAAAAGGTCTGCAACAAATTATCTTCCTAGAGATGAGTGTTCAGGGTAAAAAGAACCAAGAATAATAGTTGCAGATAAATTTTTTTATGAAGGTAAATTAGTATCTGCTCACTGCATAATAACAATATATATAACACACTGTCTTTGTATGTGAAGGAGCAAACACATTTTTTTCATGGCGAGTTCGAACACGTTTTATTAAAAGTTACAAAATGAGGATAGAGACTTATCAAGAAGTGGATTTATAATATTCTGTAATTGTAATAAAATTTGAGTCATGAATAGAGTCCAATAGAGTATGTTGTTAGCATTTTGTTTTCTTATTAGATATGCATAATTTCGAAAGGTAAAAGTTACGTGCAAAAAACTGTGTACATTTAATAACTTAATAAATTAAAATATCAGTACAAATCTTAAGTTGTTGATGTAAAAGATATTAAAATTCTTTAAACAAAGTTTTAAATTTAAACGGAAAACTAGAGAAAAAGTCCACTATATTTTTCTTAGCCAAATTGTTCAACATAAATTGGTAATTGATAAAACATGCAATCCTAACTTTTTTTTTTTTTTAAATACAAAGAAGTATTATTGCTGGGTTCTGATGGAACACTTTGGGTGTCAACTTATGATATTTAACATCATACAGTCATGTGTAGAAAACAGTCATCCCAAGCAATGCGAATTCCTAAGTCAATAAAATAATTAATACATCAATCTCACATGTATTAGTTACTATAACAAAAATCACTTCACGCTAGAGCCAAAACTATAGCATAAAACATTAAAATCGTAGCCTAAAATTTAGGTTATGATTTTCCAACTGTGGACTAGGTTTGTATGGTCGTAAGTAATTAGTCATGATTTTTTATATAATTAAATTTTCAAAACCGTAGATTAAAATCTTAGGAATGATCACGGTTTTCAATCTATTTTTCATCACATTTGTTTTATGCTTTAGACCACGCTAACATATGTATTGTCTTTGGGTGACACATTTATTAAACCATTGTTTTATGTGAGAAATAATTCTTTTAATTTTGTATAAATTGCTTATGCAAGACTTGAAGATGAGAAATTTAAAATATATATTCTCAAATCACAACATTCCATAACCTCACACATTAAGTGCAAACATCACTTAAATGACTTTAGACAAAGTTATAATTGAAACATATACTTGAAGGTTGTAAGAATCCAGAGTACATGACTAAAATAAATAATTGTCATGAAGTCATCTCTAAAAATCGTCCTATCAAAATTTAAAATTACAAAAGTAAAAGAATTACCTATGTAAAACTATTTATTTACTACATAATTGTAACTTCATTAATATATGTGAGACCCTAAATAATTAGCTGTAATAAATCTCTGTCACATCAAATTAATTTACGTCACATCAATGCTTATTTCCTTTGGAAACTCACTCCCTAATGGGATACGTCACGCTTCTGTGCACTGGAAAA